GCGATTAAACCTATGAATAAATAATAAATTTTTTTTTTTTAATTACTTAATTTTTTTCTTTTGGTTGTTGTTTGTTGTTGTTGTTGGGTGTGTGAATCAGTCGATTCATTATCTTTTTGTAATTGAATTGTTGTTGTTGTTGTTTAAAAAAAAATTTTTTTTAATGTAAAAACGACGAAAAAAAAAAAGAAAAAACGTAGGAAAATTTTTTTTTTACGGGATTGAAACGGGAATGAGCGGTAAACTACGGCCGTTATTTTAATAATAATAATAATAATAATAATAATAATAATAATAATAATAATTTCCTCAAGAGATCCATGAGAGGTAATTGAATGTTAATGTTTGGTGAAACCAAAAGTTAAAAAAAAAATGTTTAGATCATTATAGGATTTGCCCTTAAGGAACGAATACCAAGAGATGCAAAGTCAGAGAAAAAAAAAAAATTAGAAAGTTAAATTAGAAATCGTAATTATTATGCATTTAAAAGAAATCATAATAATAATATTCTCTCTCTCTCGGTTTATTTTTCTTCTGCTTCTCTGATGAATTTACAATTTGCGTACGGTAAACATAATTAAAAAAAAAAAAAAAATTATTCATGTGTAAAAATTTAGCGTAACAGTTGTTGTTGTTTTAAAATTATTTTTTGATTAATTTTTAATATTAAAAAAAAAAATCTCAATTTATTTTTAACATTGGTAATATTATCATTATTATTATTAAATATTATCCATAGAGTAGTTTTGTGAAAAAAGAAAAAACGAAAAAGAAAATAAAACAAAACATTAAAGGAGAGAGAAAAAAAACTGGAAACAAGATTTCGATAATAATAAATCCAAATTATTAGATCGCCCCCCAACATTTTTTTTTTTTTTTTTTTTTAAAGATTTAGATCCATTTTCACAATAATTCACGACGACGGACATTTTTTGCGGACACCCAACAACAAACACAAAAAAAAAAAAAAAACATGAAAACTGGAAAAAAAAAAATAAATAAATAAAACAACGAAGGTGAACACAAACAAATATCCGAACGACGCACACTTTTTTTTTCATTCTTTCTTTTTTTTAGTAATAATAATAATAATAATTCAAATAAATATTTTTTTTTCGCCGGCGATAAAAATGGCGACGACCACACCCTGGATAAAAATTTCGGCGTTAACAATTCCCACCAAATTTAACATTTGATCATTGAAAAAAAAAAAAAAAAAAACTTTCTAGAAATTTTTATGTAACAATAGGAAAAGTAGTTTTGTTTTGTTTTGTTTCTTTATTAATTCCAAACATTTACGCAAACAACAACAACAACAACATAATAATTATTATTATTATAGAATCTGATAATTTATCAATCGAAATTAATTTTTTATTGAAATTATTTATTTAAAAAAATTTTTTTTTATTTTACCGGTACAAACATTTGATTGTTTCGACCGGTTTTTTAATAAAATAAAACAACAAACAACAAACAAATTATTGATGGTTGCAAAACAAACAATAAATGAATAATTAACAACATTATAAAAATTAATCGTTAAAAAAAAAACATTTTCCTTCTTAAATTTTTTGTTAATAATAACTTAATAGCGTATAAAACATAAACAAACAAACTCGATCGATTATTATGTTTCCCCCTCCCCCAACCTTTTAACATCGCCTAAAGGTTATCCCGATTTGATAAATGTTCAAATTCGTTATTCTTCCTGATATCATCGAGAATAAGAGACAAAACACAAAATTTTGAGAAAACATAAAAGAATCGATGTAACACAACAAACATAAAACATGCACACAAACACACACATAAAGCTCGTCGTAGCGTAATTTAATAATAATAATAAATTATATATATATATTAAAAATCACACGCGTGATTACGTCATCATTTAATTAATTTCATAATAAAATTTTATACGTATCGCAAAGTAATAATAATAATAATAATACGCATGCCTGTAAGGGATTCAGAAAAAAATCCCCCCAGGGTAAAAAACATAAACTAACAAAAGTGTGACCAATTAAAAGTTCATTTTGTAGAAGAAGGTCAATTTTGTTGTGTATTTCCAGGCGTGGAAACCTAATTTCCAGGTACAAATTACTTGTCGGTCGGTTCGAACCAGATGTAATCAACAACCAGAACGTATTTGCACACGCCGCCGCCACCACCACCGCCACCGCCACTACCACCAACATTGTAAATTAACGTGTTTACCTTTATTATTATTATCGTTATCATTTTTCCCGCGGTTTTCTTTTTTTTTATACCGAAAAATCTCGTTTCAAAAAAAAGCGTAATATTTAATAAAAATAGATTAATCCATTTTTAATTTTTATATAATCCGCGGATTTAAATTATTTAAATTTGGCGCCAAAAAAATTATAAACCGAAAAAAACAAATTTAACGATCGATAATTTATGTTTTCTCTTTCTATCTTATTTATCCTGGAGAAAAATCTTTCATCATCATCATCATTTCCTATGATTTTAACAACTGGGAAAATTATTAATAATAATAATAATAATAATAATGATAATAATAATTAGTATAATTTTTAATATAAATTTTTAATTTAACCTCGTAACTTTTTTTTTTTTGTTTCTCATTTCTACAACATCCGTGATATATTTTTGTAATTGAAAATAATAAATAAATAAATAACGCGTGAAATTATCATTA